AAATGTGCTCAACATAACTTTTTCAGTTGTGGTTTTGTTCTGATAAATACATATAATATATGCATGTTTAGCGAGGGTTTAGAATAAAATAAACAATGTTTAACTGTCAATTCTAAACTTAATTAGGAATAGTAAACTGATATTTTTTTTGTAAGTAGGTACTCCGATAGCAGTATTGATGGCAGTGAGGCAGGCGTCAAGGGCATAGGGCGAGCTATTTTGGTGCAGCGTGGTAGCGGCAGTCAGATGTAAAGAGTAGGGAGGGAGCAGGCAAGGGAAGTAAGCTGAAACTAATCCGGCGCGCGGGTGGGCGCAACCCGACACCGCGTGCGCGCAGCTTACATTTGTCATTTATAATGCGCGCGATTTGTTGCTCCTCACCTCGCCTCACGCTTCGCGCCACCACAACCTTTTTATGTTCACTTATTCTTTATTCAAATATTCAAACACTGTGATGTTCGCTATATTTTTTAAGGCATTTTATGGCCTCAGTTTTGTCGTATATGAACAGTGATATTTTTTGTAAAATGCTTTTGTGAATATTTTATCGGTGCTTACAAAAGTTTTAGGTAGGTAACACTCTAGATAACGGCAATTTACTACTATATTACCCACCTACTTGAAAATTGATATGAATTTACCTTTAGTTACATATTATATATTCTATATTAATTTGAAAGCATAGCTTTATTACTCCTAATATTTTGATGACATAGACCGTGGGAACCAAGCCAAAGGTAATATTGACTATTAAGGTAATTACGTGTTTAATAACATAATTATTATTGCTTACACTGTAAGTGACATAGTGTGAAGATATATATTAGATCTTTGTTACATTTTCATAAGATAAAGTGGATTATTATTACTTTTACGTTTACAGTATAAAATGTCTAAGACATACGAGTACAAGAAATAAACATGGGTAGGTATAGACGTAAATATATAAAATTTACGTAAAATGATGAGTTAATATTAGATCCTATAGGTTATATGAATTCAATAAAGAAAAAGTCTCTAAATTGGTTTAAACCAAAATAACATTATTAATTTTCCAATTATTTATGTGCTACGCTTAGCTTCAGCATCTGCAAAATTGATTTTTACAGCAACATCGTTCATTTAAACCTCATTTCACGGTACGTGTGACTGATATGTTGCCGATTTGATTGCGTTAATTTTTTTAGGTGAGAAGTTAATAATTTTCCTTCTAATGTTGCACAATCTGGCCAATAACGTCCTGTGTGGCCTTGTCGCCATGTGTGTTCCAAACAAATATTTGCTTGGTGTTTCAAAGACTCATTGATGTTTTGACGTTCGAATTTTGAATTAAAAAAAATGGCGCCCACAGCGGCCGCATGTTGCGTTGACACTAGCATTTTTGCACAATGGCTGCTTTGAATGCTTTTATGTTGCGTTCCGAATTGCATTCTTTTGCCGTTTCCTATATTTTAAATGCTCGTCAATGGTGTTGACTTTGAGAATGAATTATGAGTTCCGTCGTTTTTAATGTTTTGACTGCTTTTATAAATTTAAATACTATGATCTTTTGTGCAGTCATGTTAGTCGTGTTTATTATAGTTTGGATAGTAGATATCACAGTTACTGTGGACTTCTATATTATGATTAAGAAAATAAACCATTTTCATAATCATTTCTTAAATAGATATAGGTTTTTTGATTTTATAGAGAGGAAGTAGGTTGGTTTATTTTATGTAGCTGTAAACGTGAACAGCACCTTATTTTTTCCCACCCTCATGTAATTACATGTCGGATAAAATTTTCCTTGGCGGACAAACGTAGAACAATCGTCTACCGAAGCCGTAAGAGTCGCACAGATAGAGCCCCGTATTGGTAAATACGATAAAGGGACTCCGCGCCTGCCACGAGATATATTTAAGGTACCTATTGCCGTAAAGAGAGAGCGCCGCAGACGCCATTCCACCAAATTGAAAAACATCGGAGTGCCCCATAATGCCTCTTAATGCCTCACCCAGAGAGTTATAGCCCCTTAAGTGCGCAGTATTTTTCATATTTTCGCAAATAATGCGAGTATTCGACGAGAGCGGTGTGCGACTGAGTTTTTTATAGTTATGTGGTGCCGGTATTATGCTATCTCCAGTCACTCTTTCGCTTTGTTTCCTCCTTTCCTTAGTTCGATCGTACTCGGCGCCCTAAGTACCTACCGTCACCCGGCCGGGGTTTCTGTAAGTGTTTTTTTTTTATTCCTTAGGAAAAAGAATTTCTTTAATAATAGAAATAGGAAATGTTTATAGATATAAAAAAGTGACAAGATTTAATAGGTTATATTTAGGTAAACAGAGAATTATAACTATCTAAATAGATATTAAGTAGGTAACAAAGACAGGTAGTAAGTAGGTAGTACTACTATTTTGTGCTTAAAATATAGTCAGTATACCTATAATATTTTATATGAGGTATTTTATTTAAGTAACTATCTATAGAGTTTTTAGTTGAGTCATAAACGTCTTGATGACGGCTACCGCTACAAACTAAACAAAAATCAGATTATTAAACATTATTTCTAAGTCACCATTAATCTTAGAAATATCATTGATTAAGTACTTAAGTGGTGGTGGGTTAAAAATTGTTACCTGAGAATAATATAAAAAATAGTTCAGAATTGACAATGATATCATGTAGGCACGTAGATATATGACATAGAGACGAATCAAAATACAAAGAAATGGAGTAATTCTTTTTCAAAGTCAGTTGGATGTTAGAAATTGGCGCCACGGTGCAATGTGTGCCGTTGAGGAAGGCAATATTTCACGGTTTATACCTAATACATGAAGACTCGCGACGTCTGAATAGGCGCTTCGTGTTGTTCTCTCATTTCGTTTAAAAGGGGATGAATTATTAAAAACCTTTTATAGATGTCGGTCCAATGGATCTTAAAGTATGAAACATTACAAACAAATAGATGTGGGGTGCTACACCAGAAGAGGACAACTATAAACAGCCGCCAGGTTGCTAAGATGCGTTATAGTTTGAAGGGTGTAAGATATCACAGTAAAATTAGTACTACAGTGTAACATAGTAGTTTTGAGGAAATACAATTGGAAATAGGGTATAAGTGTACAATATATCAAGGTATTTTAATAGGTCAAGGTAGGTTTAATAGGTTATTTTAATAGGTAAGGTATTTTTTGTCCTGTCTGTTGTGTTATTCAGGTTAATTTATCTGTGTATAGATAAATTAACCGACAGTTATAATAATTCCATAATGTGTGCCGAATTATTTAATTAATTGCCATTTCAATCAAATAAAAGAAATGTTGCTTATAGATATTAAAAAATACTTCATGTTCAATTGGTAAATACTGTCTATTAGATAATTTGTAAAAAAAATGCAGGTACTTCCAAGAAATCAATGTATTTATGCCATATCACGAAATTCACACCTGACTCTACTTCTGGACAACTGCAGGTAACTTATGGATGATAAAAGGCGAACAATTTTTAAATTTCATAATATTCACAACCATCTCATTTACAAACCTTGATTGTTGAAAAATAAGGAACAAACATTCGAGTATATTTTTGGCTGTTATAATAAATTGTAGAAGTGCAATATGTAGGTAGTATTATGTAATATTATAGTATCTGTGGTAGTACCCAAAGACGTGAGCTAACACGTTCCAGAATATTTTTACAACTTGCACAATACCTGAAATTTGGAATGTCACTATGACAAAGATTGTATATTCATACCTAAATTGTTACATACTAAAATATAGCTAAATATTATAATGTTCTTCCAAAAGTAGGTGTAACCTGGGCATAGACAGCCTCGTTGGTCTAGCAGGTAGGACACAGCTGTAGGTACTTCTTGCTGTTTCGGGACCGCGGTCGATAGGTACAAACATTTATATTCATAATATGAATGTTTGTATTGGTCTCGATGTTTTCAGTGTACATTTTTTTGTAGATACATAGATATGTAGGTATGTGTGTGTAAAAATGTATTTAAGTGTTTAGATATATCAGTTGTGTAGTAGGTACATTAGATATATCTACAAGCTCTGCTTAGCTTGGGACTAGATGACGTTGTGTGAATTGTCTAGGGATATTATACAGTTATTATTATTATTTATTATTAACTATACCTACCATGGCGGGGCATCACGTGTAGTCTAGGTATATACCTAATGAGAATAATGTAAAGACAATTAGCCCATCATCGTCAGGTCATCTGGGGTACGCCGTTGAGATCCTAATTGTTAGTAATAGGACAAGGCCCCATTACAAGCAACCCCCCCTCTAACCGCCTCTATGGGTTTGAAGTCTAAAATTTAAATAAGGTGCTTATTTTAATAGCAAGGCGTGTACTATATTTTATTTTCATATTGCATTTCATTTAAATAACTACCTATAGGTATGCCTTAATATAGAGTTTCGTAATGGAAATTATAAATGTTGACAAACATGTTTCTTGCATGCAATGTTTTTCTATCACAGCCATACCTATCTCTTTCACGCGCGTACTTAAATGGAACATTCTTCATGTCCTCCCTCTCGCTCTAATCCGCTGAACTGTTTTATGGGCGGGCGCATTCTCTACGTCTCGTTGCGCGTGCGTTTTCATTTGACACCATTTTGAATTAAACTTATTATTGTCTTTTGTAATTTATTAATACTTAATATTAAGTATATTACAACCAAATTTTGTCTGAAGTCATCTGGTGGGATCAATATTTTAGTCCTAGTTAGTTATATAATATCTAAATAGTTATAATTGTGGACATTACATACCTATACCTACATTAATGACTCCGATATGTTAATAGTGAGTAGTCGAATAATAGGTAATGATATTTTTATTGATATGAAAAGCTTAGCAAATGAGGGGTGGCAGCTAGGGGGGATGTCGGTGACAGCGGGTAGCGCGGCCAGTGGTTGTGCCGGGGGGCGGTGCCGCCTGCCGCCGCCCCGCCCCGCGCGTGCTTCTCCCGCGCGCTCAGTCCGCGCTCGGCCGCCGTACTATTCCATCTTGTGTGTATTGTCCGAACTTACAAGCACTGACACGCGCGCAACGATCACAAGTGCATGCAAATGTTTTTTGTCAGTGAACTCAAATAGAAATAGTTATGATTTTAACACAGTTTTTATCATAAAAAATACGGTCTTTTTATTCGGTGACTAGAATGTTTTTAGCGAAATGTTACGGACGGTACCGGTGAGATGGTCGATCGTATGAAAGTTGGACTGATGTACTGATAGTTGTTTGATGGATGTGGAAAACGCGGAGTGTTGGAGGTCGGACGGCGACAGGATGGTGGCGGAGGAAGGGAAGACGAGGGCTACGGACTTCTCGATCGCGGCCATCATGGCCCGGAGCGCCGCGGAGCCGCGCAGCCCCGTCGCGCGCTCTCCGCCCCACACTGGTAAGTTAGGCCTAATTCTTTAATACCTATTGCAAATAAACTACGTAAATTAATATGACAATGTTATTATCAGCAAAGAAAGTGATGACTATAGTTGAAAAATCTGAATGGATTCATGGTACTTGCAATACCTTGATATGCAATAGTAAATACTGTCTATATATAGATATCTACTTAAATGTTAAATTTATATACAAATTGCTACCAAATTAGCTGTATTACCTACAATAGTATTCGATATCGAAATGTTAGTTTTATTCTAATATATAGAAAATTACAATAAAACTAATATTTCGTGACGCTAATGTCATTAATTTTTAGCAATAAAATATCCTTAATAAGTGCAACTATTTCGTTTTGTGTAAATTGGCCAAATTTCATAAAATAACTGCTATTAGTACCTATGTTGGTCACAGTATGCTTAGCTACCACAAGGGATCAGTGAACTTTAGTATCGAAAAAGTAAAAAAAAATAGTATTAACTATTATTTTAGTAATAGGGAGTTAGTATGCAATATTATGTTCTCTGTGGTAATAGCTAGTTTAATGCAACCAAAACATGACATGCATGTATATGGTATGGTGGGTCATATACATATATAAGTGTAAATGGACAGGATTCCATAAATGAATAGGTATATTTTAAATAATAAATGAACGGTCTAGAAAGGGAATACCGGTGTCATATATCGTTTCAAAAAGGTTATAAAATATGCACTTACGTAAGGTTATAAAGATCCTCAAATTGCTATATTTAGTTATTGCTCTCAATGCAGATATATCTTACTGCAGTATTAGTTATCTTCTTTTTCCGGCCATATTCCATTTTCATTTGGGGTCGGCTCTCCTAATCTGCCTTCTCCAGTGGTGTCTATTCTGGAGATATTCTGTAGGTATATTCTTAAGAACAACGGCAACATAGAGTCGGCGACAGGGCTCTATGTTGCCGTTGTCCTTAAGGTTCTTACTAACTACTGACACCCATGTTAATCAAGGTCGTCCAGTATTAGTTATCTATGTTACAATATTTTTTTACTGAGGTACACTTTTTAATAAGTCTCGCCTATGTCAGCTATCTAGCAGCTTGCTTTGTAAGCTGTTTTTGGTGTAGCATATGCAGTATCCTATAATTGCACTGCCTTATGTCACCCTTCATCAGAAGACATCTTAATAATTAGGAATAGTACTCATAATATCATGGATATCACAGGAATCCGTGATAGATATTTGTAGTGCTTTTGATGTATATTAATAAGCGACAGTTACCATTTCACAACATCAGATGGGTCGAAATTGTTTGCCGTTCAAATTGTGTAAAAAAGGCATACCTATATTAATCTGTTTTCTATTGTAATGTAAGTATTAAAAACTTTCTAGAATTGAATACTTTCGTAGTATCTATCAATATAGGTATTGTAACTATCTGTAATTATAATTACTGAGAAAACTAAGTAGATATAGATACCGTATTGTTCTTACCGCTGTAGGTAGTACTTATACTGTGGGAATGCAATTTACATACCATAGAATAAGAAAAAAGTCCATAGAAAATATTACGCAGTACTTAGTACAACAAAATGTGAAACCTGTGAAGAGTTTCTCTAAACAGTTACAATTAATAGACTTGGTAATATTGCAAAATAAAAAAAAAAATTGTATTAAGAACACGGAGTTAATGAATTATTTTGGTTCACCAAGAGTCAATTTTGCAATTTGTTTAGTCCTATTTACGACGCTTACTTTTCTAAAAGTATCTACTGTGTTATTTTAAGAACAACATGCAATATTGCCGCTTAAACGATACATTTATAGGTAGGTAGGATATAGGTATTATATTAAAAGTTAAGCATGTTTAATAACAATATTAGGCAGGTATATTTATATCTATATTTATATTTACATTGGCACAATATTTTAGATTGGAGATGTAGAGAAAAGTAAATTAGTTATCTAAATAACAAAAAATAAAATGCAATATGCTGTATAAGTAACTGCCTAACAATATTATTTATGTCAGTTACATGAAACAAAAATTGACGATCCACCTATTGACAGCAATATTTTACTCACCAACCGTTGTATGTTGCTTGACTTGCTTGGTCTAGTAATTATTTAATTTTAATATAAACATGTGAAATCAAAAACTAATTGTTAATATGTAAGAGATATTACTGAATTAGTTTTTTTTAATATTTATAATTAATTATAGGAAAAGGCTTTAGACAGCCGTAACTTGAAAATGTAGACATCATATGAAATTCGTACCTATAACCACAATTTCCGGCATAATATCTATATCTATATAGGAATATATAGTTATTCATGTGTTGCATACACATTAATTTATTCCTATATATTAGGATGCAAAAACAAATCGAAAAAGGAATATAAATATATTATAATAATAAATTTTAGCATTATTTGGAATGAACCTAAAGTTAGACAAAGCTATAGAGAAAATATAAGTCTTTTGTTATTTTTGATCAGGTGGAATGGTTTTATAAGGTATGTATTTCACCTACATTATATTTACAAAGAAATCTAGGCTATTAAATGTACATTTTCATGTTTTCAAATATAAGAATAATAAAAGTCCAGGCGAAACTAAAGGGTTCGATACTAATTGGTGTGGTATGCGCGGGCGCAGGCGTCGTGTTGCGGGTCAGTTCGTTATTTTGGATTAATTGCGTGGAACCGAGTTCATTCGATACCGGGTCTCCGGTTTGGTTGTAAGAAATTACCTGTTATTACATTAAATTATGTACTTTATGTCACAATAAGCAACTTTCTGTCCCCGTTGTGATGTCTTTTGTGGATTGTAGTTCATAATCAAATAAATAGGGCATAGATGAAAGGTACCAACATGTTTGCGCTTTATTAGAATGCAAATTGTATTACACTTATTTGAACCCATTTACATATAGTTGCTTGTCATTATAATAATTTCTTTATTTACAAATTGTTTCATATGTTTACATTGACAATGATTCCTAATGAAATGACCTAAATGATCTTCTTAACACAACAACCGATAACAACAATATGTATATAGACGACTATTACGACTTACCATTGTGTTGTTGTTAATTATGAATTCTAGACACCGCTTTGTCAGTGCAGTGGTGTTGTAAATCAATTGCCTTAACTTCTCGCGGTCATGAGTTCAGTCCGTGCAGTAAACAAAAAAATACTTTCTTGAGCACGTTTATTTGTATTGATCTTAATATTTTCAATGTATGTTTTATTGTTTTTTAGTAGCTGTAGTACGCATACCTACTGACACGGTATAATGTGGAATAAAATATGGTTTTGTCCTATTTTAATCTCAGTAAATATACCTACTTAATACTATTAAGTTCAAAAGTAATATAATTGATAGTGAATTACGTCATCTCTTCATGACAACTTAAGAATAAGTAACTGTAATATGCCAAATTTTTACAATTTGACTTATCGATTTTACTGATTCATTCGTTTTATTTATAACTTATTGTAGAAGCATTGTATGGATATATAATCATTAGGTATTTAAATTTAGGTGCTGCAACGTTATCTAATAATATTATAATATGTTAGTAGTTAGGTATTGATGGAGATATTCAGTGGATTATATAGAGTAGCAAATATAATTTATTCTTGACTGATTCAGTTGCACGTTACATATCAACTATTACTTAGCAACATGATTACCTACTTATTTTAAATGTGATGGATTATAATTTTTCTTCTTAAATCAATGTGCCTAATAGATATAATTAATAATGAAAATAATAATTGCAATACTACAATGTGGAGAAAAGAATTAAATATTTACCAACATACAGGTGTACTTTTATGATAATCACGCAATGACAATGCGCAATATATACTAATAATTTGTATACAAACGGCCAAAATATAGTAAACGAAGAAAACATGTTATAAATTTCATTCGCTATAATTTATTGTAATTTTGTTTTGACAGTCTTGTTCACCAACAATAGGGCTGAGTAATTACATATGATAACCAATTCGTCAGAAATATTCTTCAATACCCATCAAACGATGATTTGATAAGAAATATATCCGATATGAAGGTGAAACTAGTAATGGAGGGCAGTCAGTTAAGTGACTTAGCTATTTGGGCGAATCACATAAAACTCTATTAACGGTGATATAGTTATGTGTTTATTAATGTTTCTTGAGAGCTACCTACTTCGTACCAAGTAGAGGTACCGTAGGTACGGTAGGTAGGTAATGGTATGTAAAATTTAAATTAGGTATTATTAGCGATTATATGTATTATTGCATACATTTTTATTCCTTATTTCAACGCCATCTAGATTATTATTTTTTGGGATAAATGATAATTATCACTAATCTATCTGTTCTCGTAATACTACTCTAAACTAATATAGTCTATTTTTATGTTAAATATGGGTAGGCATTATTAAGAGCAGTTTAGTTGAGAAAATGTAACAAAGAGATAGACGGACAGACATACTTTTGAATTTATAATATTACTACGGAAATATGTATTACCCAAAGTTATTCTATACATATTTTGTCAGTTATTGCAGTTTTGGATATTAAGCGCGTGATTTATATTATTTGAGCCGTGAAGAACTGACTAGCAAGATTTGACGGCCTTGGTGGTTTTTTATCTGTTGTTTAGTACACATAACACAAGTTCTGCTTAGGTGGAACTAGATGGCGCTGTGTGAATTGTCCAGGATTATAAAAAAGAGGTTTCAGTTTTGAAAATTAAAGAAATACAAAGTTACATTACTAAATGAAATTAATTTGTGTCCTATTGCATCAGGTTCGGTATCGAGACAGAGTTCGCCGGCGTCCCTCAGCTCGCCGGCGTCCAGCTGTCGGTCGCCAGTGCCTGATGAAGACGTGGAGGTGGACGTGGAACAGTGCTCGGACGGTGAACGAGATGCGTCCGACCACGCCATACCATCACCCGCCCCGTCTTCTGGTTTGTATCACCTAATTGATGGATATTCATCCAAAGCGGACGATGATGAGATAATGACGACTAAAGTTACAATAAATTACCGATGCATATTAGTCGCTGATCGCCGAGAGTTGCATGTAGACAAGGGAAGCTATTAGACCCCTTTTCTTTTTTTTCTAGGCTTTTTTTGTGTTACTGAAAAAGCATACCTAGAGGCTAACGACCCATTTGTATCTATTTTTTTAAAATAAAGATTACATAATTTCGTCCTCGTCATACAACCTGTGTTCAGGTCAAATTTAATTAGTATCTGTACAGGTATTTAATCGTGAAAAGGTAACATGTGGATAGATTTTTGAGTATGTTGATAATAATAATAATCTTTATTTATCTCAAACAGAAACTTTTTACACAATACAACTATTGCCCATAGAATAATATAATTTAAAAACTAATTAATGAGACAAAACGGTCTATAACTCAGTGAGGGCAGTGAGTCCACCCTCTCTCACCTATTCTGTTATAGCCTTTATCAGTAAAATAAAATGTGAGATCGACGACGACGATAGCATATTAAGTTTTGAACTACAACTAACAAAGTAAAAATAAAAATTGACAATAACATAAAAATATGGTGCACAGGAATTTTATATGTGGTACCTATCTCTCTATGAGTAGATAGGTACATCAGCTTATGGATAGGTAATATTTAGTTATTACATGATGTTTAATATAATTAGTACAATAATAGTAGGACAGGCACGCCTACTAGTCCTAAACTAAGTCAAGCTTATGTTACTGGTTGTAGACAATTGATAGAAATACTAGAATGCATTTTTTAAAATACATGCGTAATATATATAAAGAAAACACTTAGACAGATAATATAGTCATGATTATAAATGTATTGCGTCGTGCGAGGACTTGAATCTGCAATCATTGGAAGTAAGGTTAAACACACCGGTGTTTAACAGCAAGACCACAGAGGCCGTCAAATCGACGTTACTCGTATTGATGTAGATTACAATAATATTCTTGAGAACACAGTCGATCTTGATACAACTTTGTCGGGCTCATGTGCCAAGATAGAAAAACTAAATTAAACTTGTTAGATAGACAATTATCGGTGCAATAAACAGACTTTCTCATACATACAATTCTGTTCTCACAGACAACACTTATTCATATTGAATGACTAGAAAACGTTGGTATCACTATAATCAGCGAGTGCGTATAAATTAGGTAATGTGGGTACATTGTTTATGGCAATAGGGTCATTAAATGACTCTGGGCTGTAATTGGAAAAATATTAAGTATAAAGTATGTAATTGAGAATAAATATTTCAGTAACATGCTTAAAGATTTCGCATATAAATTCACTACAATCATGATAATTGATAACAGTACTACGGATAACGTACCACTTGACCACGTAGTAAATGTTATCCGCTACCGATTGCAAATATATATATAATGGTTCATATATAAAATACCTACTGCGGAACTCTTTTAAAGTCTTATGTATGCCGTTTAATATCATTAATGTTAAATTCTTTTTTGTGTTTAGGTTAAGAACAACGCATAATCACATTCTCTAATATCTAAACTCTTTAGAGCACTTTCTCATATTGCCATTATAACAAATTTGTAGAGCAAGCACAACTATTTTTACATTACCTTCGAATAATGTTACTGAAACTTCACAGAATTAGGTGAACGAGACACGCCGTCACCAGCGCGACCGTTACCACCGGCCACCTCGTGTAACTGCGAGGAACTGTTGTCAGTAGACTGTCAACTGGAGACTAAGGAACTGTGGGATAAGTTCCATGATCTCGGCACTGAAATGATCATCACCAAGACTGGGAGGTAAGTTTTAGTAGTTTTTAATTGCAGTATTAAAATATAAGTTTTATTATAATCACAATGAGAAATGTAAATCTCTCTGAAAAGCAACAAAGTAATAGACAGTTTCAAGGCTTTTCAACAAAGACCGTTGCCGAAATAATCTCACAAATAATTCTTTAATTAATTGCTCAGCTCATCAACATAATGCAATCTTTCACTCCGCTAAAATCGGAGTCAAAAACAAATTAATTCACTGTACAATCGGCCCCCAACAAAGGGTTCAACGGAATGGATTCATCAGCCAAAGTGGCCAATTCCGGAATAATTACTTCGCGAACCCAGTCGTCCTTCAACCCTTTAACGAGATAAATTAAAAGTACATTTTTTCCTAACCGTCGGCGTAATGCCGGGCTATAAATTCACAAAGCCCCAAAGACAACATACAAAGCTATGGGGGAGGGGAAGATGTTTTTATAGTCACGCCGAGAGGTTTATCTAAATAATTGCGTAGTCGGTGGCGGCGAGCGGAAAATTGGCATCGACAGAGGAACGCAACGCGCGACACTCGCGCCCTGATCTCTATGTTTGGAACTGGTCCGGTGGGAGATGAACTTTTATAATAGTATTATTAGAGGAAAATAAATTTAACAGTTATAACTGAATTCTTAGGTGTTATAATGTAAAAATATAACTAAAAAAAAAATATAACTAGCTGTACCTGTGGTTTTACGCGCGTGAAATTTATAGGTAGCTAATATATAGCTACTCTGATCATAATCTGATGTATATTACTGTAGAGTTTCATTCAGTAGTTTTTGCGTGAAACAGTAACAAACATCCATCCATACACACAAACTTTCGCGTTTATAATATGAATAAGATTTAAACAGATAATTCTACTAATATTATAATTATAAAAGTAATATTATAAATGTTTGTTACGATTGTTCAATCACGCTCATACATGTAGATATAAGATATCTTAGATTAATTGCATGCAGTAAGTAGAATAAAAATATGTAAAATTTTTAAAAGGACCCTTATTAAAATTCTTTATATTCTTATTATACTGATGATTCTGCTTTAAAAAGTTCCTCACAGAGTGCCTCTGTCATGTATCATACATATTGAATTAAAAAGTTCAAATTTGTTAACTTGTAATTAATTTTGACGTATTCCTTTTCTGGAATTAAGTGCTGGCATTGTGTTGGTTAGCGTTATGGTTTAAAAAAAAGGTTTAATTTAAATAAACATCAGTACTAATGGTCACTAACCAAAAATATAAATCTCTATGATTTTTATATAACTATCGTCATTGACATGCAAATTGTTTTATGATAGTTTATCAATTAGAGTTGTAATAGCAAATTAGTTCAGCGGTACAAGTGTATAGAATGTTTATAAGCTCCGTATTAGCTTCGTGTCATATGTTATCTCCGGTGGGGAGTGTCCCGTCCCGTGGCAACAAGTGCAGTTAGTCTAAATCACTGTTGCCTCTCCCTGAGAGGATTTCAATCTCGAGGGGGAGAGTAAGCTATTGTTCCATTGTACAACGCGACAAAATAATCTTGATACTTTTAGTAGTATCGTAATATGTGATATTTTTAATCGAATATTAATAATAATGATTGAACCAGGCAGTTAATATTTTAATATCAATTTATTATCATCAATTACTTAGGTTAAACACACCGTAAACATTATTTCATTTGACTGAATCTAACAACCAAGTAGTATCAAAGGAATTCCAATTTACATAATTTACCATTTTATTTGTGTAGCTACAGCAATAAAATGTTTTATTCAGAATATAAAAAGTATCAACAGCGTGTAATCTTCACATACAGTCTAAACAAGAGATAAATCAACCCGTCCAATCAAAATGGGATATCAGGGACAAATTTTTACAAGGGAGGGTAGCGAAGCGCGTTTTTAAATTGCTTTACAATGCATTGCCTGCCTATTAATACAATTTGGTTAGATGTTTCATTTTTAGATATACAAACAAAATCGTCAGAGATAAAATAAAATTTTATAATGAAACGCGAGTGCAAAACTAACAAAAGGAGCCAATAGCAGTAAAGTGCGTTACAGCGCTCATTTTTATGACAAACTTAATATGAAAGCATAAAGTGGGCCCTTATCTCCGGACATCCCGTAATACGCTTTATCTTTTTTTATTGCGATGCACAAATCCGTTCCTTTCCACATCGACTCGATCTCGACTTGCTTGTGGTCGAGTTATTGTATTTTGTATCGTATTTTCCAATTTCACATTTTATATTATTAAATTCATTGAGCTTAATGGCGCATAATATGAGAGAGTTCAGTTATAATATATCAGTATCGGATATTTTATAACAACGTCAATTAATTATGATATATAATAATAACATTTTATTTATAAAACTACATATATATTAATAATACACATACCTTAGTTATTTTGTGATATTATTACGTTATGGTTTATGTATCGATACAATTACCTTATAAGCACATCACTATCGTTCCGTGCTCGCGAGAAATGTCGGCTTGTCTCGATTTATTTATTTTTTTCGATTCGTCGTTTTGATTTACAGACGGCCACTTTACTGCCGAGTGGACTTTGTTAGAGGGAACTAACTGTGGACGATTTATGTGTGCGGTCATTCGGGACACCCGTTTGCTCAATATATTTGTTGAGACCTAATATTCTTCTGTTTATGTTGAATAATATCTTTGCAGTATCTCAAAGTGCGAAAATCAGTTATCTCTTAGATACCACAGTAGTATTGAAGCTTAAAAGTGGTACATCTTCGACCATCTTTATGTCTGTGTGTGTATGTTGATACTTTTATTAATTTCTGTAGGGTTTATACCTACTTATATTAGCGTCGTACTTATATTGTCCCTATTTTTTTTGTCTATAGGTCATGAATAATTATATATTATCAGTTACCGTAGTGTAACATTGCATATACCTAATATTATGCACAGGGGATTATTAGTAATGTGGACTGATGATGCCATTGCTAGCAATGCACCAAGTCATATTTAACCTCTACGCGGTTCGTCATGGAAACCATCGTGATATTTTGTTGTGAACTTGTCACGATGGTCTAACTGACCTGACCTCATGTTCATCTTATTATCCTCCACTGGTGCCTCGCCAGCGTAAACAGCTAGCGCAGACGGGTGCACTATACTCATTATCATCCATAAAAAAGAAATTACTCCTTTAGGTATATAACGAAATGATGAAGTGGATTGTTGTGAAAATAATTAAAATAAATAGATTTTATTATTTATTGGAATAGAATAAGAATTATGAATGGGTGTAAATTTTATTACCTACTTGTACACCATTGTTAGTGCAGTCTCGACTGTAATACATACCTATTAAAATTTATTGAATATTATATGAATATATACCTTATTGCTATTTACTATTATGTAAATATATGTTATTACTGGTTCCGCGCATGACATTCCATAACAAATTATTAGAATACATTAATCTTCTAGGCTTATTGTTTATCAATTATGTCATAATGGTGTTAACCTTGTTAGCGACATAAGAAATATATCTATACATCTACATATATAATCTTAGGTGGCACGAATACATATTATTATTTCTAGTTGTACTTTTGATGATGATGATGGTCACTAGGTAGAATCGAATTAAATATCTTGATGAAGTTTGCTTATCGTGGTGAATATATAGGAATTAGCCATAATTACTTCCAGGAGCGAACGTTTGAAGGGCCTAAACCAGACCTGCTACATTGCTATCAATGGTAATATAGTAGAGGTATATGCTAGATCCATGCTTGGACATTTTTTTTAAATTTAATGGTGCACCGAAATGCGTTAATGTTTAATGCAGTATGAAGTCCGGTCAATTAGCCCGTAGTGACAAATACAATAGAAATTAATCCCGTTGGTTTCTGGAGGTGACTTCGTCTTCGTCAATTCTAAGAAATGCCTCCCTGATGCTTCAATTGGATGTGACGCTAATTATGACTCATCTATAATCTAATGGATGTCTATCGAAAGCCTGTACTGTTTTCTAAACTTTTATATTGAAAAAATTGTTGTGCCTTGTTATCAATTTGTATTTAGGTAGGTCATTTATCTTTGCTTTTATACTTACATAGGTACTACAGATAATTAAGTTATGTTATTGTCCCATAGACATTCCTCAACTTTTTGCCCCGTCAGGAGGCGTCCATTTGAATTGCCTATATCTGCAATTTGATCGCTCATTGTGTTACTAAACAATTTTTATAGGCTTTTAATGTCTTGACAATTATCCACACTATGGCGGACGACGTGACGGCCATATTGATTGTGACAACCTTGATATAAATACATTTATTTATAAGTATATATAGGATATATGAATACAACTTTGAAAACTTGATTGAGCATGATATGTAGTTTTCAAAGTTGCTTAAAAATATTGTAATATTTATACTAATAATCGCCCAGCAGTCGAAATTCGGCCATATACTTGTATAATAAAAAATAGAAAAAGATCGTTGAATTCATATATTATATCTGCATATATCTATGATATATGTTCTTGTCAAATACTTAGTATGGTGTATAATGCATTTTTATGCAGAATAAAAAAATATTAGCATTCTGCGTTTCTTCGCTATTAGTGAGTTTTAGCTCTAAACTTGTACTTATAATAGAATCCGAATTAATTGAGAGACAAACAATATTAGCCGATGCCAGCCAATATTGTTGTTTTAAATAATTGTTCTTTCACGTAATTATCGTGACTTTTCACTTTATTTAGTTTCAATGCTAGGCATCAATAGTGTATAAAATAAAAATACGTACAATAATAACAAACCATTAGCATGTAATGGAATGCTAACCTTTAACACCCGCCAACCCTTTGATCAGCTCCTCGCTCCTCGCTCCTCGCTCCTCGCACCTCGCACCTCGCTCCTTTATGCCCTCTTTAAGGTGTTGACCGTTACAAAAAGTACAAAAGTGATGGCATTTAACAAACAATATTTAGT